TAGTGTCCCCGAGATTCCGTTTTCAGGAAGTTCATCTTACTGTAACAAGGCCACTTGGAAAGGTGGCCTTGTTACAGTATTAATATTCAAGGCTGAATGGCTCGTTATTCAACTTCGATATGATGACTTGATGGCTTGATGCTTCCATCTTTCAGTTACACCCGCCCACTTGTAGCCCTATTAAAAGGGGTGCAATAGTACTTCATCAATGACTACTGTTTAGCATCTTCATTGAGTGACCACTGCTTAACATCTTCCTTGGGTTACTTTATCTTCTTCTTTTCATTTAACTGTAGTACATATCGTATTATGGCACATACTCGAACGAAATGTTAGTTATGAAAAATCAAAAAAAAAATTAAAAGTAAAAAATAGTAAAAGAGACGGTTTATAGCCCATAGGAATTCTGTCTTCTTGTGTTCAAAAGCAACACTAGTATGTGAGTTGGCAATCAGCCTCCTGAAATTTTGATACCCTGAAGTGTAGCAGGTTCCAGATTTCAAAGTGTAGCAGATTCCAGATTTCAAGGCCATATCAGGATTTACAACTCAGGCCTATCATTCGGCCAATGTTAGGCCTTATTCCAATGCGACCCACGTATTTGACTTCCATTTATTGTCTCGGAGACGGTTGAACGCGTATGAAATCCTTACAATGATTCACAATGATTTGCAGAGACCAGCCGATGTATAGGTCAGTAGTTCCATCTTCACAAAAGTGTCAGACACCAAGTGAACAGTCCCTCCTGGGCGAAAGACGCGGTCAGCCGGGACAGGCATCCGATGTTAGATCAGCCGATTAGAAATGTGATAGCGAAACACACACCCCGTGCCTTGTTAGGGCTGACATAAATGTAGGTACAACTTCATTGTACTCCCTTTCTCCTTCTATGTACGAATATAATGTACATAAATTCCTATGTTTTTGGTTGCTATAACTATATCAGCGGAAGTTTCTACGATATTTACTTGCTCTGTAACTATACCATGGTCAACACATAGATTGTTGTGGCAAATCCGCTCTCGTCATGTCGAGAATACCAGTTTTCGCCATCCACCATGTGATGACCTTGGATTAGGCTGCGTTTTCCCAATAGCGCCATGTCATGTCAGACGATAAGCTCCCTGAAAGACCTTTAAATACTGCTGTTCGTCAAGCAGTATTGAGAACTGTCTTCAATGTGCCTCTCAAGTGTTTAGGATGAGTCAGATGGGAGTTTGGCGAAAAGGTATGAGGATAGTTGTTGACTGTTTGAGGCACCATGATGGAGAGTCAACACTGTTTTTGTAATCGATAGATTGTGTATCGAATGAAAATAAAAATTTATTTCATTCTTTCTACTGTTAGAAGATGGATCAGATCGAGGGGAACCTACACAAACCATACGTTCCTCATCATTGCCCACCTCAGCCTGATTCCACACAAGAAATTTACACCTATACTTCCAGCTAGAGATTCTACAACATTTGCTACCTTTTGGCTTCCTTTTCCCTTTCTTTCCCCAGTCACCCCTTTCCTCTAGTGAAACATGTTTCGCTATCGACCTTAAGCTTTATCCCCAATTTTCTCACATTAATCTTTTCTCGCTTTATAGTTGTTGACAAAGACCCGTCCCCTTGTAGTTACTGCTTTTGTGTTGTATTACATCCTGGTGTATTTTTAATGAATAAACAAATAAATATTCACATGCTCTAAAATATACCGTGGTGGACACATAGATTGTTACGGCAAATCTTTATTTTTGGTGGTGAACAATGGTTGACTGAAGTAGAATTCCGACGAGAAGCTCCTGACCTATCCGCCACCTACCTCACTGAGCCACTTGCTTAATTAGAGAATCACGAGAGTTAGAGAAGGTAATACAAAAATTAGCATACGTTGCGGCGTTTTATTGAATGAAGACTTCGAGAGATCCTCTCGAACTCTTCATTAAATAAAACTATGCAGGGTATTATGTAACTCTGAGAGCAAACTTGTGTTTGGAAGTACAACAATATACCCTTAAGTACCTTTGAACCTAGTTTTCGTTTTGAATTCATCGTCTTCTTGATGACCTTTCCAAACCATGTTCTTTCGGTGGGGATGTAGGGCCGAGATACAATTGCTCTGACATAACCAGTTCCAAATAGGCGCCTCCCAGCCTGCCTCCTGACAAAATCAACTATAAAAAGTTCGATCAGCCCAGGTCGACAGGGTTGACAGTGTCACGTGAAAGGATGAGGAGAATGAAGTCTGCCATCGTCATTCTACTGATTTTCGTCATTTCATTAGTCAACTCCTTTCAAACGCCTCGAACAAAGTGAGTCGCCAACTATTTTACACTTTCTCGCCACATTCTTTCCTTGAAGCTTCGTTACTGTCATGAAATATGCAGAACTGTCTTGGTTCAATGTGCAAATTCTGACCTTTTATGGTACACTACACTACACTACCCGCACTTGCTGCTATTTGTTTCCCTTTCCAATTTTTTTTTTGACTTTTTTCAGAGTCACTTTACTTACTGGA